ACTCAAATTGTGTGCGCCACGGAAGATAATCTTCGACAACATCAAGCTTGGTAGTGACAATATTTGTAATGTTGGGGGCTGAAAATCCCATGGATTGAGCAATAGCTTCAAGGGAGCCGACTGCCATGGGAGGAGGAGCACGTCCAATCGCACGGAGAGATGCGGGAGGAGCCAACCCTTGTTGGCCAGACAAAGTTGGACCGCCAAACGTAGCCCTGGATGAATCTGCCACGACCAATGGATCGGAAAGAGAGAGAGCTGGTTGCCGGGAAGCAGTCGGCTGTGACCAGTCAAACATCGGTGGGACCCAGGCGGACATATCCGGTGCGCTGTTCATCGGAAACGGCATGGCGAGAGTCGGCTGCATCACGGAGGAAGATCCAAACAGTAGGCTTGCCGGCACCGTCGACATTACGGGTGACGGAGGCAAGCTAACGGCAGACTGAGAGTTGGAGACCGGCGGCGCAACCGCAGGGTTGCTGGCGGCGGCGGTACTCATGAAGGAAGATGGGAAAAAAATTGTGAAATAACCCTAGGCTCTTGATACCATGTGAGAAATAATAACAAGCTTACCTTGATTGGTAGCCCTGACAGTATATATATATAAGAAATAAGTATCTGAGTACAATTAGGAAACAACCTAATAATTAATACATAATTAATTCTACACTATTAGATTACACATGTTGAGGTCTAAACGGACCAGGAACCTTGAGGTGACCAAAGGCATGGATCGAGGGGAGTCCTCTTAACTGTAGGGAGGATGATGGGGATCAGAATGACTCGATTTTGCTAATTCTATATGATGGGATAGAATTTATTTTAACACATTGGCTGCTTTGAGATGGCTAGAAGTAGAAGTGAAAAAGCAACCAATAGCTAGTCTCAAGAAATTGGGCTTTACCCGCACAGATAGCTCAGTTGGTCAAATGGTGGGAAAATTGGACCAAGTGATCAAAGTTCGAAACCCGTAGCGGCCGTGTGGAGGTTACAGAACCTGAAATAAGGCTGGACCTCAGGTGCGCACGTGTATAAGGTCTACCGCTGCTTTGCTGACTGAGTCACCGTAATTAACCTCTCCACCATCTTGTCGGGTCGGGGTGGGGGGCTTGGGGTTGGACATTCAACCTTTTGGACCAAGAAATTGGGCTTTAAAAGGCCTAATTTTAACATCATAATTTCAGAATTGTAGCTAGTAAATGGTATATTTGTATAGTTTAGTATTAACTTTTAACAAAGTAGTTACTTTGGAAACGAGCCTTAGGCTCTGCAGCTTAGCCATCAGATCAGAGGCATTTCATATCAAAGATTTTAGAGTCCCGCTTGTATACACGCCCGCGGGTTACACGCCGGTTTACACACAGATAATTTGATCGACGTTTTTTTAAAGAAAATCGTTTTCCACACATGCAAAAATACAAAGTTGTGAGTATCACAGGCATTTTAGATGAGAATCTTTCGTAAAATGTCAGTGATACAGACAATTTTAAACAAGAATTTCAGACGGGAATTTTAAAATGTCTGTAAAATTTAAATTTTTTATTTTTGTCTGTGTGAAAATCGATTTTTTTCATAAAACGGCGATCAAATTGTCTGAGTGGCGTGTAAAAAGGATTTGTAACCCGGCGTATAAACCGCCGTCAAACCCCGTAGGATTTGTATTTTTGCTTCAATTAGTGATTTTTTATCATTAGAGTCCGGGTAATGCTTTTCTATTTGTCCATTGCGTTCCATCTTAGAAACAGCAGAATTACTCAATTTCATTATCGCCAGATATGAAGTGTAAGACGCCATGTACGCTTTTTGAAATATTGACCAATATCACAAATCAAACATGAAAATTGGGCAAAGAATAAAACTGTTTTGCAGATCAGCTCTTTCTCTGATATTATAAAATGACAAACATGAATGTTAATAGTATCATAGTTTATTAAATGAATGTCTCTTCTTAAATGTCAACTAAGATTTTCACTTCTGAAGTTATACTCATTGGAGGCCCTGCAGCTCACTTTTTAGTTTTCCCCTTTTTGTTCATCCTTGCTTCTTTTGTGCATTATTTGTTCAGATTTTTATTTATAATCTCTTTTTAAGACAATATGGGTTTGTTCATTATTGATTTATATAGGTGTTGAGCTTATTATTTTAGGATTTCTAGTAAAATCTAGTGTTCTAGAAGTCGCTAAGCACTAGTCGGACGGCTAAGAAGCACGTAGTGCCTAGGCTAAATTTGGTCGACTAAGCGCTACAAGGCTATTTTTTTTGGGCGACTAGGCTGATAAGTTCTCCCATAGTTATGCAACGCCTAGCGCCTAGGTGCTGATTAGTCGGACCGACTAGGTCAAATCTTAAAACAATGATAAAATCTAATCAATACCTTTTAGTTTATTGGGTTCTTATTTAGGTTTGTACCCTAAACTCAATTACTCTGAAGTGAGAAAAATCATGTAATTTACATAAAAAGGGCAAATTATATCCTACACCCGGGTGTATAGATACATCCGATATTTTTGTAAATAAACCAACTTCAATCCTAGTCAGCATCCTCTTCCGCAGCCATTCTCGCTCGTCATTCTCTTCCTTTTTTCTTTCCGCCGACTTCGTATATTTTTTCCTTCCCTGTCATCATCTCTTCTTCCGCCGACATCATCTTTTGTTTCTTACCTTCCCAGCCATCCTCGTTTCTTCCACAACCATCATCTTTTGTTTCTCTCCTTCCCTTCCATCATCTTTTCTTCTACGGGCCATCCATTCTTATTGTTATCTTTTACTTTTGTCTTTTTGTTATGTTTTTTTTTTATTTCACTTTCTTTTGTTTTGTCTTTTTTGTACTTCTTTTCCTTTCTTTATTTGTTGTTTACTTCTTTTCGTATTTATATACTGATGGAGTAATGGGACTAGGCCCAGAGCCTAATCAGCCCAAGCCCCGAACTTGGACCCATGGATCCAAGTCCATAACCTGGAGCCTGCCTGCCAGCCCGGCGGGGAGCCTGCCAGTCCGACCGACCTCCTAGCCCGGAAGAGTAACGGTCGAACAATTAATGCGCTATTAATTATGTATTTAATTCTGTATTGATGTCGTAATTAATTAGTCATTATTATCGGTAACGGTTACGATTTGTATACACCTATAAAAGGCGGGTTGTAATTCAGATTAGGGGAAGCAACTTCTATATGCTATTTTCTGGCAACTAAATCTCCTAGCTACTTTCCATTCTCGTTCTTGCTTTCCTAATTCCTGCTTGAGGGTCGTACGTAGCTTTCCTAAAAGCCTACGAGCGTCCTATTTTGGACCAACATATACATTATACCGAGCACATTAGAAATGAGTTTTAACTTAAACTCAAATGAGTAAAACGCGTAACAAAAAATGAACATACATAAATGAGCTTTTGAATTTTTGAATACTCATTTTGTAAATTATGTATATTCATTTACTATCTCTGTTATACTCATTTTAAAAATGTTTTAGCAATGCGCATTTCAAAAGTTTCATATTACATTATTAGTAGATTTATATAAGAATTGATTATAGACACGAGACCACAAATCTTGATACTCAATCGCAGATTCTAATACTCAATAACGGAGGTTTGATGCTCACTGAAAATGTCTTGATGCTCAACGAATAAAACTTACAACTTTCATATCATTGCTCATCTTATAAATTACATATGCTCATTTGTATAGGTCTGGTGCTCATCAAAAATTCATTAATGCTCGTTTAATAGAATTCATGATTTTCATCAATCTCAAATAGACGATGTTTGATATGTATGCTCATCTGAGACTGATCATATGCTCATTTTATAAATGTCAGATCAATGCATTTTAAAAGTACTACGGAGTATTTTATATTAGTCTCCTAATACTCAATATAATAGGTCTGATGCTCATTAAAAGTTCATTATTACTCATTCTTCAGAAGTCATGATTTTCATCTCAACAGTGGAGGTTGATGCTCATTTAAAATGTCATGATGTTCAACTAACAAACCTTACGATTTTCATATAATGTGCAGTTTGTAAGTTATGTATGCTCATTTTGTACTAATGTTATGCTCATTTTTAAAATGTCATAAAGAGGAATTTAATACATATCTTTCATATTAATCTAAATAGCAGGGCCTAGTTTTATTATATCAATGCATATTCCAAAAGTATTATATTACATTAGACTCGCTATTGAAATTAATAGGAGTAGATTATAGATATAATTTAATAAGTTTTTATAAAAGAAAAAATAACAAAAAAAAGAAAAAGAATTAGAAGATGTGAAGCAGAGATCGTGATACTCATAATTAGTCTTCTAATACTCAATAAAATAGGTCAAATGCTCATTAAAAGTACATTATTGCTCATTTAGCATGAGACATGATTTTTCGCTTAAATTACAAAAATGTCACCGTTAAAATAATTGGCCCCTTTGCTTGTTTTCCATTCTGGACCTGTTGTTTATGGGGTTTGCTCGTTAATTATTGTGGGCCTCCATTATATTCATTAAATTTCATTTACATTGGGTTGAAGCTTTAAAAAATCAAAAAAATACCCGGATGTAGTATATACGAACGGCATAAAAAAAGGTACTCCGTATGGAATTTTTTTTGACTGATATATAATTTTTAACCTAGATATTAGTGATATTTTTAGTGCAATGAGAATTCAATGATGCACATTGCATGTGATATTGTCAGGTTTTGGTTCAGGTTAGGATATCTTCATCCATGAAATTATTAGAATATGACATTGGTAATGTGGTTGATTATTTTTTTGGACCATGGTTGATTAAGAGAGCTAGATTATTTAATAGAATAATCTAAGATCAATATATGAATCAAGACTATTTTGATATAATTTGTGAAATTAAAAGTAATTAGTTAATTCAGATCTCATAAATAATAAATTATTCGGAGTTGATGGTTGAAGTTATTTTTAAAGGTAAGACTTACAAAAACATGCTCTGTCAAAAGAGAGTACAATATCACTACTCGAAATACCCTATAAGACACATTTGCGATTATATTGACAACCGAAAAAATTAATAAATGTTTCATAGTTCATTCTATTTCCTAAGTCAATCCTTTGCAACCTTCAAAATGTAATAAAAACTTATATGGTTCAGATATCAACAAGAACAGTAAGGTCTTTTGCAATGTCATCCTTTCACTGATTTGTAAACCTCCAAGAAAAGCTCGACTTAGCAACCACTACTTCACAAACTGACTTGCGCTAATGCTGTTCCCAAGTGTGAGGGGCAACTGCATGGGTTGTCCAAGATCAAATGGCCCAAGAGAGTCATTCTGCAACCGATCATTTAAAAAAGACGCAGTTTAGTTTTCCTGTCCTGTTAGCAACATATGAACAACAGAACAAAGATGGCGACTTTTTTTTAAAGAAAGATTACCCATTTGATCCCTTTTAGCCCAAGGCTGCAGATGTCTTCACCAAGAATCTCTAGTGAACGAGGCAAAGAGTTTGCCCTACATTTCTGAACATCCTGAGCAAGGATGAACAATAGAGCCATATGAATCCCGGATATTATTCATAAGTGCACACCATTTTAGTACTAAAAAAATAATTAATGATATGCAAAAAGTTTCAACTTTTGAACTAAATAGGATTTGATGAAAATTCTTCGAACTTCTTTTCCAAAGAACTAAAGAAGCATAGACGAGCAGGAATACCTCAGCTGTAGCTTCAGTTTTTGAATTCAAACCTTCATGACATTCTCTGGAATTGGACATTTCGCTCACAAAAGGAGAAACTTTCCTAGCAGGAAACGCGTGGCAGGTATCTTCAGCATCAAAGATAGATGAGCGTGATTCACTCGATGACAATTTTGAGACAGGAGCATGTGAATTCAGCTTAGCAGCAACAAAAGCATCAAAAGAGTCGGCAGTTGTTGATGAAGAAATCGGCAGGCTTGATTTATTGTTCCCACTTAACCCTGAAGCAAAGTTATACATCTTTCCCTGCATTGATGCCTCAGATAGTAACCCTCCAATGCTCAAGGAAGTTGTAACATCCCCCCATAAAAATTGTGACTGGAAATTGTCATTTCCCTTTGTTCTCGATATTTTGTATTCTTGTGTGGGTGGTGGATTGAGACTGCAACCATGAGCTTCACCTTGCAAAGTAGCCAGAAATGGCTGAATTTGACTTTCTGATTTAGTGTCATGCTTGATGATCTTACCCAGCAAGGATACCTCAGTAAGTAGGCACCCGATGCTTATGTTTGTCAAGCTATCTTCCCATGGTACCAACTGTGCAAGGATATCATCAACCTTCACTTGATTCCCCTAGATCAGAGTGGAAATAGTGCATCTGTAAGGCCATGAGCCTCTACATATGCAAACTACTGCAGCAGACCAAAACCGAGTGGAACTAAAAATGTAGAAGGCAATTTAATGGTAAACAATACCATGACCCAAAACTAAAGGCACACAGTAGGAGAGACAAAAAATATTTTAATTTCAATGAGCCAGTTCGCAAAGCATCTGATGACTTGATCAAATTTGAATGAAACAGATAGACCATTTTTCCAATTGATTAGTGTTTTTAATTTGTCATAATCACTGAAGAGGAACCAAAGATCATTTGCAGCTAAATGTTAACCAAAGGACATATTGAGGTGTAAATTTAAACATTGGTTTATTGAAACAGTGACTAATGTTAATATGGGTTCCACAACTTCTAAGGAAACCAATGAATATTCATCTCAAATTATGCTTGTATGTCAAAAGTGAAAGGAGCATATCTGCTTGTAATAATATGTTGGGTAATTAAATACTCCCACTGTCCCACTTTAAGGTTCCCACGCGGTTTACGATGTTTGACTGACCATAAAATTAACTGATCCCTATCATTAATAGAATTACTTTTAGTAAATAAAATTTACATATTCAAAAACTGCATTAAATAAAATTATTTCCATCATTTGCAATGGAGCCAAAGATTTATTATTTTTTGGCTTGAGATTATGATGGAATAAAGCAAAATGACTCACTAAACTGTCTGCGCTTCTTTGTTATGAAGCAGCAGTCAGTCCATGCAGTTTTGGACGGGATTTTCACTATGGGTCATCCGGAAACAGTCTCTCTGTGCTTTAATACAGGGGTAAGACTGCGTACATCCGACCCCCCTTACCCCACTGTAGGTGGGAGCCTTTGCGGCACTGGGGTAAATGAAAATGATTCAAAAACTGCATTAAAACCGCTACAAAACCTGCAAAAAAATAATTCATAAACTTTTGATATATAAAGTAAAAGATTAAGAACAATGTTGAACCTTTAAATGGGACGGAGTGAGTACAAGAAATTCTTGATTTCCATGCTGAAGTATGTGAGAAAGCTTTTCAACAAATTATATTTATAGACTCCCCACTTTGAGATTGAATTCTGTTTGCCGAAGCGTTATTAAATTTCATCTTAGCAGGTGTTGAATCTTTTGAGCGAGACACTAACTGAATAAAAGAGTACTTTATGAACTGAAAAATATGTTTGACAATCCAAAGAGACTCATTTGTTAGTTTGAACATGATCCTAGGGCATAGGCAAGCAAAAGCAAAAGTACAAAACCCATCAATACCAAACCAGTCTAAACAAAATACAATTGATACCAAAGCATGCGTAAGCAAAACCCATCAGAACAAATGCATGCTGCATGATTTGTTTCTCAAGTCTCAACAATAGATAAAGCCCTCAAGTTCTAAAAAAATCATCATCATCATTACCCCAGTGCCTAAAAAAATCATCATCATCTAAAAAACAAAAACAAAAAACTAGACAACAGAAGAAAGGGATTAAGTTCTCTATTTTATCAACAACAACATCCAACCCTTAATCTCAAGAGAGTTTGGGGTCAGCTGATTAATATACTCCCTATACCAGAGTACCAGACAACTAAATTTCTTTTTCTATTACCAAGGTTTAGGAACTCTGACTGTACTATGGATGAGGGCAAGAGACCATGTAATTCAACAGTATAAAAAAGAGGGACCCCCACAAATAATAGATAGCACACAAATGCAAAATTAGGGTGCCAATGCTTACCACAGATTCAACTTGTTCAACTGAAGGTATCTGCTGTTTTAGTAGTGAAGCTTCATCAGTAGTTAAAACGTTTTTGACATCCTTGTTTTCCATCTTAGATTCCTTCATTTGATTGACTTCAATGTCTATATCTGGGATGGTTGCATCAACTTGCCTTCTCGTGTCACAATAAGTAGATGAAAGAGGCATGTTGAAGCTCTTCAATTCATGATCAGAAAACCAACCATACCTTTAAAAGCAACAACATAAAAAAGAAAACATATTGAGATCAAATAAAGAAATCAGATTGGAGAAGAATTATGTAAGCAGTTTTAATGAACATCAGACCTTAGACGAAAAACAGCAGGACACTTCAAAGACATGTAAACTTCTGCAGTGGAAATTTCAGTATCTTCTGAACTCCATCTTCTGTAGGAAGCTATGTTTTCCACATTAATATCATAAGGGAAAAGAAGAACCTCCCCAAGCATACCATTTTCATTTCCCCATTTTGTGTTTATATGCTTGATCACAGACCATATCCTCTTCTTAGTACTTAAAGTGAGTTCCAAAAATGGATTGTACCCATCCTGTATAAATAAGAGACAATTCCATTAACTTCTATCTTTTTGGAATAAAGGATCTAGTATACCCTTATGTCATGAGCAAGATTAATAATTGTACTTTTTCCAATCTCAAACGAGTACACTCATTTATAGGAAAAAGCTGCAGTTTGATCTTTTCAGAAGGTTGAATATGTTGAAGCTCTGTTAAAGTTCCTACAGTTGTTCCAGAACAACAATTTCTTCCATCTGCAAGTTTCTCTCCTAGTAATATGGAAGTGCCAGAGGGTAAAACCTTGAAATCTTCTTTGGAAAAAAAAGATTTACTTCCCCCTGGAAAAAAATCATGCAAATCTAGGTGAGAATAAAAGAGATCATGAAAAAAGATAATTCGTTTGTATTTAATCCTTGAAAGAATGCATCACGCATGACTGTGAGATGAAAAAAAATGAACCTAGGAGTGCGTCAGCACCCAAAGAGATGAAATAGGTCATCCCTATAAAATGCAATACTTATAAATAGTAAAGAAAGAAATAAAGAAAGAAATAAAGAAAGAAAAAAGAGTTAACAGATCCAATCCAGCATAACCTTCTGATTTCTGATATCGGTCCCTATTTCTGTCCAAAAGTTTCTTTCTTTTTTTATTTCTAGTATCTTCTATTGCAGGCCTCAGACCATCAGATGCAGTGGTTTCAACAGTATGCACTTCTTTTCCTGTTTGACGTCTAACAGATTTCATTGCAGCTCGGATGACCGGAAAGTTATTCCAAACACTTCAAAAATCATAGACTTCCGTCCTACAAATAAAAATTGATGGGAAAAAATCAAAAACAAATAAAATTAGGGTTGTTCTTGTCAGGACTAAACGAATGAATATCATAAATCAATTTGAAATAGCCGTGATACAACACAAATTTAAGTAATCAACCGAAGCTTCCAGTAAAATCGAGGAAATAGAAGGGATTTGCATACCTAATTACGACCGACTTAGGCGATCAAAACAAAGACATAAAAAAGAAGAAAATTAAGTAACAGAAATCTACGCATGAAAAGAAACTAGAGGTAATAACGTACCACACAGGACAGGAGATGCTTTGGCCGTGATCTTGGAGGTAACTCGCTAATCGCTAAGAGCGCGCGGGGAGGCGGTAGCGAGAGAAACGGGAGAAATGAGAGCGGGAACGATTTTATTTTACTTAGTGAGAGTTAGCCGCCAGAAATCGTGATTTGAAAAGGAAAAAAGAATGCGTGCGGTCTTATATGCAAGAGAAAATAATAAGACTAAACCATACAAACTTTACAAGATTAGGACTTAATTAGTTTTTTTTCCATCTTATGCTTTATTTAGATCTGTTTTAAGAAACTTTTTTTTGGTTTACGTGTTTACCGTCCACGTTAGGCTGCATATTAAAGCCCAGGCCAATAACCTTCAGCAACGGCTGAACCCTTCAGGAAGCGTTCATCGTAGACTACATCTCAGTTCACCGCCGTTCATCGTCGTCGTCGCCAGAGAGGTCGTCGCTCGTCATCGCCGGAACCCTAAACACACACAAAGTCCGAAAAATCAATTCCGCACAATCACGGCCATGGAGAACTACTCCTACTCTTCCTATTTGGATTCTAGCAACTCCTCCCCTATTCCCCCTATTTCCATTAAATCAAGTTCAATATCCTCCCTGGGATGATCCTAATAAGCTCTTTCCTCCCAATTTCAAGGTCAAGTTCAATATCCTCTCAGTTTTACGTTACCTGCTCTGCTATTGAGCTATTATCGGAACTTAATGTCTGTTTAATGACTACTTATTGTCTGATATTGAGCTATTATCAGAACTCATTGTCTGTTTAGTGACTACTTGTTGTCTATATATTGTCAAGCGCTTGCAAGTTTGATTTTGGATATGATTTCTTCAAAAGTTTTGCAGAGTACCTAGTGGCCTTTTGAAAATATGAAATAGAAGTTCGAAATTGGCAAAATCAATGTCCAAAATCATAAAAGAAGGTGAAAAAGAAAAAGAAGAAGAATATGAGGAGGAAGAAGAAACCTCTGGTTGTGGCATCTGATGAAATCAACTGGAGCAGCTATCTGGTGCGTCGATGACGGTGATTTCGTCATCGGTAATGGTGAAATCAGTTGCGGTAGTGATGGCCCTGTGGTGATTAGCGGTGAAGCCCTCATCGTTTCAGAGGAAGCTTTGTTATGTTCGGTTGAGTTTTAGCGGTGAAGCCTTTTCCGGAAAGAGTGAAAGAGCAGATGGGCGGTTGAGTTTTGATCTTTTAATTGAGGTTATTTTCGTCATTGCATCTTAGTTAATGTCTTAGAACTGCCGGTTGTCCTATTTGTGGAAGTCGGGTGACTTTTGATCCTCTTTGTAAAATTTTCCCATTTATGCAAGCCACGTCAATCCTCTCTCATCGGATCCGGATTACAAAAGAATGATGGCACCGACCACAAAGTTAACGGACTATCATGTTTTTTATTTCAAAATAGGAGTAAAAAAGTTTTAAAATTTCAAAATAGGACTATCATGTTTTTTATTTCTTTAATAGGAGTAAATTTCTGCCAAGTTTGACATTATTATACTTTAAAATATGACATTTTTTCCCAACATGACAGATTACTCCTATTTAGGGAATAAAAAACATGATACTTCTATTTTGGTATTTTAAAACGTTTTTGCTCCTATTTAGAGTAATTTCTAAAAGTTAATTGAAAGGATGTAAATTGCATTTTAATCACAAGTAAGCAGAGAGCGAGTGAGGTTCTGACTCTAGTACTTACAAAGATCATATACATTTTTACATAATAATATATTTTGTGGCACTCCCTATCTACAGTTGAGATACGTCCACAGACGCCAATCCAGATTCCAAAAATATCAATTTCGTCCTCTTCCCAATTCATAACACTTCGTACTAAGTAAAAAAACAAAAAATGATCATCAACCTTATTAAACATTAAGAAATGATTTGAAAAATAAGTCTCAATCTTTGATCGGACAAAAATATGACTGTTCTAATTAAGATAAAAAATACATGTTCCTCAAATGAAAGTACCTAAATACCCTTTAATAAACCCAATGCCATATCAGAGGCGATGAATTTACACTAAAACTTATTCACGCATTTTACAAAGATTGATGATCATTTTACACTAAAATGATGAATTTAGCCGTATGACTGTGGTTTAGAAGATTATGCTTCAAGGTTGGATTGGGCCACCTGCGATTTTTTGTTCTATCTTTAACCTAAAAATTTATGTATCTTTTTCTATACTTTTTACCTTGGTTTCTTTTTTATTGTGTTAGCGACGCTCTTGAGAAGTTTAAGGTTGTTATAAGAGACAAGTCTCTCCTCTTGGTATTCATAGGCTATTTGTCCGTTCAATGGTTAGCGAGTTGTTGCGTGAATTTTTGTGGAAGCAATTCTACGTCTACTAATCGCAGAACTATCGATCAAGTCACTAGTGTTTGTCTCGTGGGTTGTTTATGTGTTATTGGGATATCAATGTACGTCTTTGTTTTTAAAAATATACACTTAATATTATATATCATCTTATGAAGAAAAATGCAGGAGTTAAATTTGTTTGATTCTTCAAAATAAAATTAGGAACCATTATATCAGTGCATTTCTTATATAGTTATGTGTTGTCAATTAATAGTTAAGAAATGGAATAAGCTTTTAAAGGAGGGGGTAGTTAGCTTCTATGATGCAGAAGAAATCAAGATTCGTGATTGATAAAGAAGTCGGTACAAACCCATTTTACTATCGCACAACGACCGATAGTGACGGGAAAGATACATCCGGTAAGCGACATATCATCACCAAAAATAACATCTCTAGATAACGTTAAGAAATAAACATATATGTAAAATTGAAAATATTAATTATGTGAAACTTTTTTCATGATTGAATCCAAAAGAGATTGAGAAATCAAATTAAAACAAGAAAAGAAGAGGAAGAGGAGACTATGATTTCCCATCATAGCTACTCTCTTCGTATAGCTCTTTCGGCGGTTTGGGGTAATCTCACATGAAGGCCGAAATGTGATGCATGAAATGTCAGATACCCATGTTTGGTTCACGGGTTTGAGAAAAAAAAACGGAAAAGTTACAATCCCGGGAATGTAATCTGGAGGGGAATCTTCTAACCATCCATGCCTTAGGTTATCTTACATTCCCGGGCATCGTCTAATTTTCTTCCAAAAATACCTTCAACTAATGATCTCTCTTCATTTAATTTGTTTATTATATTGCGATTTTATAAAACTTTTGTTGTAGTTTCTAAATAGGTAAATTTTATTTGGTAAAAAATAATCTTATCATTGAAAGAGATCAGTTAATTTTATGGTTAGTCAATCGTAGATTGTGTGACAACCTCTTAAATGAGACAGATGAAGTATGTTTATTTAATTATATTCGAATGACTATATATTCTAAATATTTTCATAACTATTTTTTCCTTATCAATTAAATTTTTTAAGGTATTTATTTTATAAGACTTATAAATTATTTAAGTTTTTTATGAGTGGATTTCAAAATTTAATGGCAAAAATAATTATTTTTTCTTTAATTTGAAAAAAAGTTTTATGAATAACTTGAACATTTTTTAAATTTAGTTTTTTTGAAATGATAACAAATATATTTAGATTACTACTTGAACAAAGTTTTTTTCACTTTTGAATTGGATCTGCAACTTTTTACAATTAAACATAGTTTACTTAAAAATAATTCAATTAGGTTTGATTTTATTTATTATTAAGATATTTCATTTTTTCTTTAATTTTAATTACTTTAGATGTAGGTTGTAATAGATTTATCGTGTTAAGATAAAACATTTAAAAGGCATTGAAGTAATTCGCCATATATGTAATATAAGATATCTTTCCCATCAAATAAATTAACATCACATTCCTTTAATCTTAGAGTTTTTTTCTGAAATAATATTAAATAAATAAATAATTCCCAAAATATTGTTGGATTAATCGTGGTTAAGGAAAGCTGCCACTTGAAGTGGCGGTTTTTCTCTTAATCTACAAGAGCCGCCACTTGAAGGGCGGCTCTCTAACAAAATACGCAGCTCACGTAAGTAACCAAGCAACCATATATGGTAATGGGTCCCACCAAATTTAAAATCTTCTGTTTCCTTTGAAGTGTGCTAATTTTTTTATTTGTACTCCAATTGTTACAAAGAGTATACCAAAATTCACAATTTTGGTGGGACCCATTACCATATATGGTTGGCTTGGGCATTATATCTTGGTTACTTCGTGAGCTGCAGATTTTGTTAGAAAGCCGCCACTTCAAGTGGCGGTTCTTGTACTTTAAGAGAAAAACCGTCAATTCAAGTGGCGGCTTTCCTTAACAACGGTTAATCCAACAGTATTTTGGGAATTATTTTTAACTCAGCAGTATTTTGGGAATTATTTATTTATTTAGCATTATTCCGGGAAAAAACTCTTAATCTTAATCAAAAGGAATAAATTGGATACATTCTCATCAATCTAACATACTCAACAATCTGACATTCTCGTGATAATCTGCGCATTCCCTGAACCAAACGACCTCGGTAGGTTTTTGGAAGCCCCTAGTGCTTAACTGCTTATGCATTTTCCACATTTAATTTTCTTAAGATCTTACAGATCGAATTTAACAAAAATAAGCATCCCTCCTCATCCCCATATAATTGAAGGGCATTGACCCGCACGGGTAGCTCAGTTGGTCGAGTGATGGAAGATTTAGATCAATGAACCAAAGTTCGAATCCCCGAAGCGATCGGGTGGAGGTCACATAATCTGAAATAAGGTTGGGCCTCTGGTGCGCACGAGTGTATGTGTCTACTATCATTCTGGTGACTGAATCATCATGACTAACCTCTCCACCCTCCTATCGAGTGAAGGTGGGGCTCTTGAGATGGGAGATTCCACCTTTTTTGGATTGGCAATGAAGTGTGAACTCGTGGGACGTTCAATCACGCGCATGTCCTATACGGCAGATGGGCAGGCTTTTACGTTGGCGACAATCAATCTAAAATAAAATCACTCCATGAGTAATAATTCAACGGTACATTATCATTAAATCATTATTATTATACTCCGTATCTTCCTATACGAATTTGTCCATCTACAAACCAACTCTTTTACCGCGGCCATGAGGCTAACTTTAACCCAACCCAGTTAATAAATCAAATTCCCTACTACTACATAGGACTAAGAAATAAGAATAGTTAAAACTTTGTGGTTGAGATTTATGCAG